GCCCCCCTCCCCGCCCCCCACGCGCCACGCAGTTTCGGGGTCCCGGAGGGGGAGGGGGCACGAGGCCGCCCACACGCGGGCACGGCGCGCGGTCGGACTCACCTGTATGCGTTCGCAGGTGCGATTTGAGATGCGAGGACTTGTAGTACGCTTTAGCGCAGCCCGGGAAGGGACAGCGGTGGCTCTTGGCGGCCGGGGGCGCGGCGCCGGGGGCGCGGACGGAGGACGGGGACGAGGCGGCCGACGAGGAGGAGGCGGGTGAGGCGCCCCCCGGGGCAGCGGCAGGCCCACCGCGCAGGTCGGCCAGGATGCTGGCAGCCACCAGGTGGGGCGCGGCGGCGGCCCCGGGGGATGGCGGCGGGGGCCCAGGCGGGGAGGCCTCGCGGCGCGGCGCGCGCATATCCAGGCCGGCTGCAGGGCCCGCGCCTTCGGGGCCCGCCCGCCCGCGGTGCACCACGGCGCCCGAGGAAATGGCCATAAGCACGTTGGCGGCAAAGTAATCAACGCACGCCACAGCCGCCGACATGCCGGGCAAAGGCACGCGGCACGGAATGAGCTGACGGGGCGGAGGCGGCGAGAGCGGTGCCTGTCCGGCCGGCGGCGGCTGCCTGAGTGCAGGAGGCGGAGGAGGAGGCCGGCGCGCGCCGCCGCCGCCCGCGCTCGGCCCGCCCCGCCCCGCCTGACGCGCCCTGACGCACCGGAGCCCGCGGGGGCGGCCACGGTCCGCCCCGCCTGGAGGACGCCCCCACGGGGCGCCGCGGCCACGCCCCCCGCCCGGCGCGCCCTCCACCTCCAAGCAAGCCGCTCGCGGTCGCCGAGGGCGGGGCCCGGGCGGGAGGAGCCGCCCCCTGGCGCGTCCCCTCCTGCCCTGACCGCGACTTCCCCACGCGGGGGGCCCGAAGTCCGCCCCTTCCAGCGGGTCCCTGCCCCTGCGGCACGGCTCCCAGTCCCCTTCTCTGAGAGCCCCTCTGCGAGCCGTGAAGCTCCCCCGCCTCCCCGGAACGGCTCTCCCTCGACACGCACCCCGCCCCTCCCGGCACGCTCCGCCCTCTCCGAGCGGGGGTGGCCACGCCCTCTGCCGCCGCACCCCTTTTCCGCGCGCGTCCCGCCCCCCGCCCGGGCGCGCGGCTGGCTGGAGGCCGCCCCTTCCCCGGACGCTTCCTCCCGGACCCCAGCGCGCCCCCGTTTGCGGTGGGGGAGGGCTCCGCACCTCACGTGGCGGAAGGGATGCGGAGGCAGCCAGCCCCGCCCCCCCGACATGTGCGATACCCTTCCCCCTTCTCCTCCCAGGCCTAGGTCCCTGCTGGACTGTGTGCATCTGTATCCCCTCACTCCCTTCTCTGGGAGTGCCCCTCGCCGCTCCGGGAGCCCCGTGGGGCCTCCCCGGCCTAGGCAGCGGGAGGGGTGGGGCGCCTCGACCCGTCTAGTCGAGCGAACTTACGTTCGTTCCTCTTTTTGTGCCCTATTCGGGAGTCACTCGTGCGCGCCTAAGGTTGGGGAGGGCCAGGGTAGGGGTTGGGAAAAAGGACCCCACCAGGGGCTCAGAGGGCTGGGCTAGGGACGCCCTTACAAGGCAGAGCATCCCGACCTTGCTGGAACACGTGGGTCAGGGGCATCACTCCCCGGCGCTGGGCAGGGATCCTTGGGGTTCCGACGATGAAAAGTGGGGTCTCTCCAAGCCGCCGAGGACGTACAGGCCAAGTTGTTTAATGGCAAGGACACGGGAGACGCAGATGGCCAGGATCCGCCAACCTCTTAGGCCCAAAGTGGCGGGTGCGCGGAAGTGGGCGACAGCACGGCCCTCTCCCTTGCAGTCACGCCCTCGCCCCTTCCTATGCCGTCGATAGCGGCCGTGCAGTGGCCCCAGAGGCCTCCAGGGGGCGGACCTGCTTGGGCCTGCACGGCCTCCCAGCCCGGATTCCCGTCTCTAATGCCTGCTTGCTTGGTGATTGGCTCTGAGCTGGGTGTGGACAGGGGCTACCCGGTTCCCGGCCCCATCCCTATCCTTGCTGTAGCTGCAACCCCTGCTAACTGACCTGACCAGGCTCGACCTCTTTGCCCCCAGGCTGGCTTCTGTCCCCTCAGTCCCCCTGGTCCACTAGGTCCTACTTTTCTTGGTGGTGCCAGCTTGTGCCAGTCCCCTGTGGCAGCCCCAACGGAGGGAGGAGAAGGGAGTGTTGACTTCAGGCTCCCTTTAACAGACAAGCCCACTCTGGACAGCCACTATCCAGGTGGGCACTCAATGGAACTGGCAGTCAGCATTCCTGCTGGCCTGGGTCTCCCTGTGCCTTTGAAGATCTAGGAAGTGGATCACTTGAGCAGGCCCCCACCCATCCCATTTCAGTTCTCAGGGACCTCGATTCCGCACCCACAGGTGCTGCCCAATCCCCACAGCCCAGCTTCTCCAAGTCCAGAGTGTCAGGAGGCACCTCGAGGGCACATGGGCACACAGCAGGATGAGAAAGAGGCGGGAACCCATTCCTTCCATCCATGTTTAGGGCTAGAATGAGCCCCTCAGTGGCTGCCCTCCAGGGGCTCACAATCTAGGGCAAAGCATCTGGAGTCAGACAGTGGCACAGAAGGGCGGGCACACACCTGACAGGTAGAGGAAGTGGGGGCAGCTTCCCAAAGGCAGCTCCACTTGGGGCCTGAAGTGTGAGAAACCCCAGCCAGCGTGTCAGGGACACCAGACAATGGCTGAGGAGGTGCCCTCTTCCCACAGGCAGAAGGTGAGTCATGGCAAAGCAGGGGTCAAGGCTGCTGTCCTGACTGTGCCCAACAGGCTGAGTGGGCCCAGACAAAACATTCTCTTGGGGGCCTCAGGTGTGTACCACTCCCAGCAATAATCAGGGTCTTGGGCCTACGGCCTTTGTCTATAGGCCACGCTGATCACCCCCCACTTGGGGGCCCACACTCCTCTCCTGGGGTTTCTCTTCACACCCAGGCGCCAGGGACACCTAGGTGACCACATATATAACACTCAGGACCCAATGACCTCTCTGACCTGAAGCTCAGCTTGGCCTTGTGCCTAGTCACTGTTCTGTGATCCTTCGGGCGTTGTCACCCCCATTTCACAGGCTGGGAGAGGGCTGAGCAGCAGCCTGCCCATGCAGGACTAAGAGGCAGTGAGTAGGGATACAAATGAAGGCAGCCTAAGCTTGGTCCAGGCTGGGCATTCACCCGGTGTCTGTCCTTTCTTTCTCCAGTCCTCAGTTCCCTCTCCTGTAAATGGAGGCCCATCTCCACCCTTCACTGACAGCATCAAGGGGGGCCTGTCTCCTGGCCACAGGGCCCACAGAGCTGAGCTGGGGGGCAGACGCAGCCAGCTGTGAAGGTAGAAGGCATGCAATTTCCCGGAGTGCAGGTGCAAGGGAGACTACATAAAGTGGGGTGCACCATGGGACCTGTGTGCCCACAGGGAAGGTGCATGATAGGTCAGGTCAGAATTAAGGCTCCAAGGAGTGAGTGAGTGTGTGTGTGTGTGTGTGTGTCTAGACAGGCTGGAATGGCCATATCTTTTCTTTTTTAAGTGAAGCCTTTAGGTTTTTTGTTTGTTTTTTAGCTGAGCCATCCTGCCACCTGTTGGCAGCTCAGCAGCAACTCAGCTCCGGCCGGGACTCGAACCGCTGTTGCTCAGAGCTTGCGCTCTTGAGCGAGCTCTTAACCAACTGAGCCACTCGGCCGGCCCCATTTAGTTTTTAATAGTTTTAATAGTATTTTCTGTACAAGTTAACATTTTTTTTCTACCCATGTGTATTTTTTACTTTTATTTCCTTTAAATGTCAACAGGTGTCTAGGCAGTGCAATTATAGGCCACATATCCTTTCTTTTTTATATTTTTCTGGATGAAAAATGATTTTCTAAATACCTTTTAGTGTTGGCTGGACAAAGCGACTTGCTTCCGAAGAACAGGCTAGGGAAAGGAGAGGACAGTAACCTGCCGTGGAGACACCCTGTAGACCCCGCCTCAGCCAGGTGGTCAAGGTCAACGTCAGGGTGATGTGTGCATGTCAGGAGCCCCTGATGGGATGTGACCAGAAGGACACCTCACCTTGGTATGCTCTTCCCCAAAACCTACGACCCTGGTCCAATTGTGAGAAAACAGGCCAAATTAGGGGATGTTTCACAAAATGTCCCCAAAATTATCAAGGTCATGAAAACCAAGACTGAAGAAGTGCCCTTACATTGTAAGCGACTAAGGAAATATGATGACTAAACACCATGTGGGGGTCTGGGTTGGATCCTGGGACAGAAAAGGACATCAGTGGAAAACCTGATGAGTTTTCCTGATGAGACTAGAAGACAGCCTGGCGTGTAGCTGGTGGGAATGCACACAAGTTAATTTCTTGGTTTTGACACTATGTTAACGAGTGGCACTGGGTGAAGGGTAGACTGGAACTCACTGTACTGTCTTTGTAACTTTTCCATAAACCCTAAATGATTCCAAGATGAACATTTTAAAACAAACATGAAGAGTGAATGTGGACGTTATTTAATAATAATGACCGCATCAATATTAGCTCACATCAGAGGAACCACACATGATCTCATTGCTCTGTACGTAGCTTAACAAAACTGTAAATGTTGTGTCCTTTGACCCAGCAATTCCACTCTGAAAAAGATTCCCAAAAAATATTCACAAGGAAGCAAGCATGTGTAGTTGCGCTGTTTGTGATGGGAAAAAAGAAAGAAGGAATCTCAATGTTGGTTACTGAGTTATAGAGAACATGCTGCGGGAGATCCAGGACACGGGGTCAGGTGGGAAAAGTCAGCTCCAGCTCCAGGGGAGGCACGTGCCTTCTGTTTTCACCTCTATCTGCAGCCTGTCCACGGTGGTTACCTCTAGAGCAGCGGTTCTCAACCTGTGGGTTGCGACCCCTTTGGGGGTTGAATGACCCTTTCACAGGGGTCGCCTAAGACCATCGGAAAACAAAAAGATATTTACATTGTGATTCATAACAGTAGCAAAATTACAGTTATAGAGTAGCAACAAAAATAATTTTATGGTTGGGGGTCACCGCAACATGAGGAACTGTATTAAGGGGTCGCGGCATTAGGAAGGTTGAGAACCGCTGCTCTAGAGGGACCTGCAGGGACCTGCTCGGGAGGAGCAAGAGGGAACATGGGGTTTAGGAGGTGGTAGACCAGCTCCTGAGGGGCACACCGGGCAAAACACACCTGATTCTGCTACCTGCTTGGCACTGGGCATTGGCAGGCGCGACCTTGAACCCTAGGTCCTGCTCGCTGCTCTGGAGCAAATACAAAGCCACTGCCCCTTGTTGCAGCAGGATGTCAGACTTTGGTGATGGAACATTTTAGAAGTTAATGCATACTTCACACTCTCTTCTGTAAGGCACCCATGTTTATTTCTAACGTGTGTGACTACTTACCAGAGTTTGGGGGTCCCTCACACATAGAAGCAGCCAAGAGTTTGGGGTAGAACAATGGACACACCCAGGCACAAGTGGCCCCAGGCCAGCCTAGCCAGATGGTGGGCATGAGGCTGTCCTCCACTTGGAGGACAACAAGGCCACTGCTGGCATGCCACACAAAATTTGCCAGCCCCCTGCTCAGAGTTGCTGTGGACAGAGCCAGGGTTCCCATTTCTTTTCCAGGAGACAGGAGCGGGTAGGATTTGGCTTCCTTTCATATGGGGACACCCCTGATCCCAAGCTCCTGCTCATCCTCCTCAGCTGACCCAGGACCCCTGAAAGCAGCGGCTCACAGTGCCACAAAGGGGGTTTCATCTGCCCATATCTCGGGAATACCCATGGACTTGGGCTTCAGGCCACCTCTGACAGGCCCATGCTTCTCTGGTGCCCACCTGACCTGCTGGAGGAGGAAAGCCCTCTTCAGGATGCCCTCTCTCCTCCTCTGACATTGGTAGGGGGTGCTCTGCTAGGTGTGCTGGTCTTCAGACACACCCAGTTTAGCTCCTCCCAGCAGTGACCTCGGCCAGGCCCCTTCCCCTCCAAGTGTCACCTGCACATGCTATGAACACGGGGTCCCAGGGCTTGCTCTCTGTCTGGAGGCAGCTTGACCTGAACTGTCTCACTTGTTAACGGGACAGTGACCCCGGTCATCTAGGGTTGTCATGAAGATCCACCTGGCATATGGCAGGAGCTCTGAAATGTAAGGGGGGAAGGGTCCTGATTCTGGGCCAGTACCTCCCTCTGATAGATCCCACAGCCAGCGGGTCAGCCCTGCACCCCAACTGTAAAGCAGACAAGTGCTGCCTTGTGGGGGCACCCATACCTTAGATTGGGGTGCTTGGGCCCCTGAGAGGTGGCACCCACTGGAGGCCTCATCTTAGATATGGGCCCTGCAGGGGCCCACATCTGAGGTGTGCCAGGCCAGGACCGAAGGTTCTGGGGAGCTGTGTGCTGCCCTGCCAGGTTGGGGGGGCATGTTCAGGCGCCTGCTGGGCAGCAAAAGAACACTGCTGCCGGGTATGAACACACGTGTCCAGGAAAACTCACAAAATGGAGAACTGAAAGTTGGCCCTTCTCCCAGGCAGCCTGGCCCCTGGGCCGTACCAAGTGAAAGGGAGGGGGGGGCACATCCTGGAATGTACCACTGGCTTTCCCCATCACTGTCTGTATGGTTCCCCAAGTCCACAGAAGAGACCTGGGACAAGCCCCTCACAGGCACCCTGTGTAGAAAGGCAAGTCCCTGCAGACAGACAGAGCCCACAGGCCAGGTCAACCCAAGGAGCTGTGGTCCACAAAGTTCTACCTCAGTTTATCCCTTATGTGCAATGGGCTGACAAGAGAGAAAAGCAGGGGTATAAGTGCTACTGAAGAAAGGGCACTTTTCATGTCAGCTTGAGAAAAGCCACTGCCTCACCAAGGTCAACACCATCCAGTGAATATTCAGGGTGGGGTGCACTCCCTTAAGTTCTCAGAACCCTTCTTATCATGATGTGTCTTGTGGAACTAGCATTGTATAGAATATGTGCAAGGCATTAACTATTCATTATAAGATGGCAATTTTCTCTCTAGTTAATCTATAAATCTAAGCAATCCCACTTTCTGCAAAAAAGGCCAGGTTAAGAGAGGTGGATAAGTCTGCCTGAGGTTGACAAGGAAAAGGAACATGCAGGAGTGAGGAGGGGAGATGGCCTCTGGACCTCGGTGATGAAGACAGTGGGGCTCAGGCTACCTGGGATGACACAGGCCAGGTAGTCATGCCATAAGGACGGCACTCCAGTGGGGAAAGAAGACTTTGCCAGGAAATGGGAGTTGGAGCAAACAATTTCTAAAAAAGTAGTTTGGGTTCCTACCTCAGTCCTTCCCAGCACAGCTCTCTAGAATTATACCAAAAATGTGTGTGTGTATATATATATTTTTTTTTTTTTTAATTTTTTTTTAACTGAGCCATCCTGCCACCTATTGGCAGCTCAGCGGCAGCTCAGCTCAGGCCGGGCATTGAACCGCTGTTGCTCAGAGCTCACACTCTTGAGCGAGCTCTTAACCAACTGAGCCACTTGGCTGGCCCCTGTAAATATATTTTTTAAAAAACCATTACATTTCCAGAAGAAAATATCAAATGTTATATAATCTTGAAGCAGAGAAAATATTTCTCAGCATGACAATGCAGAAGGCACACATGAAAAAACTAATAATAATAACTTTAAATGCCTGGCAAAGACAAATACATTTTGAAAGACAAAAAAACACAAGTTAAAGACAAATGACAGATTGGAAAAAACCACTTAACAGACAATGGGCTAATTTCCTTAACATGCAAAGTGCACCTAGAAAACAAGAACACCAACAACCCAATAGAAAAATGGGCAAAGAATATGAAATATAAACAGCTTTTAAATGTATGCATATTTATAATAGATATAGATCTTTTCCAGTTTCAAAATGATTGTATTAGTGGTAGAAATGACCTACATAAAAAATAAATCTGACAAAAGCATTAAGATCCATTATACTTCTAGGAAACACAAATAAAGCTACAATGAAACACTATTTTACACCTACCAACTGCAAGATCAAGCAAATGGGGGACACCAGCCCCTTCCTTTGTTGGGAGGGGTGCAATGTGGTGCTACCTGTCAAGAGATCACGTACCCAGTGATCCATGAAAAGTCTTTTGACCTAGCACTATTGCACTAAGGAATTCAGCCGACAGAAATATCCCTACTTGGCTACAGAGACATTTGTACAGGGATTGTCAACCTAACATTGCTTGTTACAAAAGATGAAATAACCTAAATTTCAACCAACAGTCAACAGTATAAATAAATTATAGTACTAATAAAATATGGTACAACCATCAACATGAATGAATCCAATCTCTATGTTGGAACTTAGCAAACATCCTCCAAGCGGGATCACATGAACAGTGAGCGACCTTTTGTACAAACACATTAGATATACATGAAGATTGTTGATACATGAGAAACTGGTTTATCTCTGCCCCAGGGAACAAGGAACAGGGTCTTGGAGGTCAGAGGTGGGAAGGACACCAAGTTTTCACCAGACACCCTTTCATACTCTGAATTTTTTGCTGTGTACCTGAAAACATTTTTGTTCAGTTGTAAGCAGTTGCTTTAAGCTTGCTGTTTTGCAGGGCCCTTACATGTAAACTTACATTCTGATGGGGTGAAAACATGTGATAAGTACATCACCAGTGGTCAGTGGGAACACAGGACTGAGGGATCAGTGGCGGGTGGAGGGTGGTGCTTCAGGGAAGAAATACTGCAAGAGAATGAGAGGAAGTCGGACCTGTTAAAAAATGTTAGCCATGCTGAGGGGCTTCTGCACAAGACCAGGATGTAATGAGGGCATATCAGACACAAGGGCCAGTCTGTGCAAATGTCCCATGGTGAGAAGTGCAATCGAGAGCTAGAACCACAAATGTTCTCTGCTCTAGTGAGTACACATTTCATCTTCAGTTTTGCGTCTAAACGTCCTGTAGTATAAAAAATGACCCTAGGGGCTGGCCGAGTGGCTCATTGGTTAAGAGTTGGCTTGGGAGAGCGAGCTCTGAGCAGCAGGGCTGCCGGTTTGGATCTCACATGGGCCAGTGATGCTGTGCCTTCCACAACTAGACTGAAGAGCAAAAGGACAGCAACTTGTCTGTTCCCCTTCCCCAATTCCCCATTCCCCAACGCTGTTCCCTCCCACAATTCCCCAATAAAATCTTTAAAAAAAAACAATGACCCTAGATTATCAGCAAGAGGGACCCGTGGGACTCGGGAGGGACGAAGGCACCAGCAGCTTCCCCGCTCACCCCCAGGCCAGGGGACTTTCCTGTGTTAGAGATGGTTAGGACGGCACTCCATTGGCTCAAGGGCTGGGTTAGCCCAAAGAGGCCAGAATACCCGGGCAAGCCTGGATGAATGGCAGTGGGAGGGGTCGGTAAAAGGGGCGTCTCTCGCGTGACATCCGGTTGAGTTACCTCCCATCAGACAGTGAAAACAGTACCACTCTTTAAGCGCCTAGCGGGCCACTCTAAGCTCTCTGAGCACCCAAGTGCCAATTCCTAATTGTAATAAGAAACTGAGGAGCAAAGTACTCGGCAGCCAAACACGGCCGGACTGACAGGGACCGACCCACCGCCACCTGATCCTGAATGGTGTTAACACTGAAACCCGCGGACACTGCTGGAATGAGTGAGGCCCTACCCAGTGAAGCCAGTTCTGCACATGGGAACGTCTAGGCGCGCGGGGACGACTGGGAACCGTCGGAAACGGCGGGAAGGGTAAGGACCGGCAGGGCGGGGTCCGAGCCGCCGCCACTTACCGGCGACGCCGCAGTCTCCTCCATGATCGGCCACCGCCACTTCCGCCCCAGCCGCGCAAATGACGCGAGCTCCGAGGCCGCGCCCCCTTAGTGTCGTCCCCGCCCCCCAAGCTGAAGCACAACCCGCCCCCCCCGCCCCAGGCCTTGGACCTGGGAAGCAAGCAGCTCTGGGTCCTGGCCCCGCCACCACCCGGTCCCGCGACACAGGCTGAGCCGCCCCCGATCGCGGTGTACAACACGCCAACCGTCTCCGAGGTCTTCCTGCTCTAGGGCTCTGTCCCTGGAGGTCACAGGGGGCACTCTAGGCCTGGTGGTGAGTCGGGCATCCAGCTGTGGTCCAGAGACCTGGGCCCTCAAGGGCATCCCCGACGAGCACGAGACCCTGAGGTGTGTTGCGGGAGTGTAGAGCCCCACGGTGGCATCTTTTCCTGGGGATAGCCCAAAGGCCCTTAGGACCTGCCACTGCCCTCCTCCCCCCGGACCTCAGACTTCCCACTTGCAAAGGCAGAGGCCTGGCCTAGGATTTCAGGACCCCGATAGACCGTTTTAGCATTCTGTGCAGGACGGGCGAGACAGTAAGGGCAGGCCTACGACTGCAGTGTCCTTATCTATCATGGAGCAGAAGGGTGCATCCTGAGGCCCCAAAGCAGGCAGAGCACAAACCCACCCCAGCCATCCCCCACCACCCACGGTTGTGTTTAAAAGACTTGGAGCCCACCTTCCCTGTAGGCGCACCCAATCTAGGCAGGCAGGGTCCTGGGTTCGAATGCTGCCCATTGCCCCATCAACACCCAGGCAACCAGTAGTCTCAAGGAGCACTCCGGGTGGGTCCTGAACCCCACCCCCTCTTCTGCAGGGAAAGTTAGACGATATCTACATTTGTGCTGAACTTTCCTGGAGGTTTGAGAGCAAGCCCTGCATCCTCTGTAATTCACTGAGCCCAGGGGAGCGCACACACGAGTAATGAAAAAAAGAGGAACCCTAAAATTTTAAATCTTTGTTTCCACGTTTTTCTTTCGTTTTGCTTCCAAAAGGAAAGGAGAGCGTGGTTCTGTCGCTTGTACATTGTCCACAGCCCCTGAGCCAGGGCAGTTTCCGTCCCCTTGCCTGCCGGCTGCCTCAGGGGCCTGGGGCGGTTCACATACAGCAGCCCAGCCAAGCGTGGGGCGAGTCCAGGCGCCGCCTTATTATTGCTTCAGGTCCCTCCCGGAGCGGCTCGGGGTGTCCGCTAGGCTAGGCACGCTGGCTGGGCAGCTCCTGGGAGATGAAGCGGCGGAGGCGCTCCAGGTACTGGCTGTAGAGCTCAATGTCGTTGTGCCCAGCGCCCTCTACCCACAGCGGCTCCACAGCCTTGGGACAACGCTCATAGAGTGCCAGCCCGTGCGAGAAGTCGATCACTTCGTCCTCCGTGCCATGGATGATGAGCACCGGCGACGTGATCTTGGACACCTTCTCGATGCTGCGGGGTGGGGTGAGTCAGGCCTCTGTGCCCCGCCCCGCCCTGCCAAGGCCTCCCCTCACCCCCCACCCCGGCCTGCCCCAGCGCTCACTTGGGGAATGCATCGAAACAGTAGGTCTTCTTGGTGTCAGGGAAGGCGACCCTCATGCCCGAGGTGAGCGGCGAGTGCAGCACCACCGCGGCGCACTCGTAGCGCGAGGCCAGGTCCACGGTGGGCACCGTGCCGATGCTCTGCCCGTACAGGACGATGCTGTCTGGGCTGATGCCGTACCTGGCGGTGGGGCAGGGTCAGCCATGGCCAGTGCACACACCCCTCCCACGGCCTGCCCTCCTCCCTCATTCTCTGCACAGAGACTCCAGGTAATATGGCCAGTCTAGGGATCCTCCCCTGCACTCCCCCCCACACCGAGGTCCACATAGTAGGCAGGCAGGGCCTCCCAGCATGTATGAGGACAGCTGGCCAGGCCACAGCCCCAGCTCACCTGGCTCTACACTTAGTTTCTTCAACAGGATCTACTTGGTCATGCCTAAATAGTGTACCTAATAAGGGCCCTAAAGTGGCTCCTGAGGGCAGGATAGCCCCAGAGCCTCTCTTGGTTGCCCCACTTGACCCCAACCTTACACACACTTGACCAGGGCCACACCCATAATCTGCTTGGGGTTTTCCTGTCCCTGCTGTTCCAGATTAGATATCCCTTCCTGGTAGCACCAGGATGGGGGCTGCATTCTTCCCTGTACGTCTCACCTATCCGCTTCGTTGTGGGGAATCAAAGAAAGCAGTGTCCCCCATGCCCAATTAGGTGCTTAGCACAACAAGTGAGCACAATAGTGGTTGTGCGGGGAGGTGGTTGGGCACCACCTCCTTTTCTGATCACCTTCCCTACAAAGTGGCCAGGTCCTAGGCCTCCCTCCTCAACACCAAAGCCCACCTCTAGGCCCCAACCCCTTCCCCCACCTGGCCACCTCCCCTAGTGTCCCATCCAACACAGCTGATCCAGCCCCAAGCCAGCTCCACCGCCCCTACATGCCGGTTCTTGGACCCACTCATCACCTCCCCATGCAGGCCTCCAAGGCTCTCCTCCACCATACCCCGATCCCAAAAGGACACCCCTCTTCCTGGTGGATGGGGCCAAAGCAGGTGTGCATCTTACCTGGGGAACACCTGGGTAGCCAGACTCCATCTATCTGTCCACCCAGGGGCATCCCCATCTGTCCCTGGCCTGGCAGCACTCCAGGTTAACCCCTGCCTGCCCCTAAGCCTCAGGGATGCCACCTGGCCTTGTGCCTACCACCCTGACCACTGCTTCCCAGCCTGCTCCCAGGCTGCCATGGCCACCTCTGTGCTAAGCACCAGCTCAAGGCAGGGACTCCCAGCAGTCCCTGGATATCTCCACCAGGATAAACATGACAGGTGCCAGATGGAGCGAGCAACTCCTCCCCAGGCCTCCCCAGGCCTCCCCAGCCCCGGGCACTTGGGCCCAAGCCTCCCGCCCTCCTGCTGCCTCACAGTTGTTGGGGCTGAGGGATCAGGTCTCTGGAAGTCAATGCTAGCGGCAGGACAGATGGATGATGGACAGAGCCCAGAGCCCTCATCCCACAGTGGGGTATGATTCTGCCAGTGACACCTGGCCAACAGGGATAGCAGGAAGGGTTGAGGCAGCCAATGGCGAGCACATACCTGCACCGCATTACCCAGGAGGAGTCCCCAGTGCCAGGGTGGTGCCAGGGGACCCCGTTCCCAGGACACCACAGGGACTGCCTGGTGCATCACTGTGGCAACCAGGGCCCTATCTCCCCAGGGCAGGCTGACTTTGGTCTCTGAAGGAGTGGGTAGGGCAGGTCAGCTACGCAGGGCTGAGGTGGCGCAGCGCCCCCACAGGCAGCAGGCAGGGCACCACCTCCAAGAGGGGTGGAGTCACTCCTAGAGCAGTGCGTGTGTAGGGTTGCACACTGCAACTGCTGGCTCAGAGACTGAGCAAAGGTGCTTCAGTAGTGAGCATTACGGTGGGAGGCACCTGTCCAGGATATGGATGACCAAAACAGTGGGGGTCCAGGGAGGTGTGTGTGTGTCCTTTGCTTTCTGACCTCCCATCAGCCGACAGAGCTGTGCTGGGCACCAAGCTGTCCAACACAACCCTCCAGAATCCAGAGGAACCCCACCCCCACCCAGTGCCTCCAGGATGAGGCCAAGCTCCACAGCCACAAGTGCCTCATGGGCCTTCCCCCAGAACTATAATACAGCAACTCAGTCCTGCCTTGCACCCCAAGTGTTTCCTCGGCTTTGGGGCTCCCAGAGTCCATTCATACAACACCTACACACGACCTCTTGGGCCCAGGTCCTCTGCCTACCGCTACCTCCCGGAGAAGCCTCCACTCCCCTGGAGACAGCCCCATCCCATTCCCACCCATACCCAAGGAGGTTTGGAGACTGTCCACCACGCCTCCCTGCACACCAAACATGCCTGTCGCCATGCTGAGAGAACACGGGTCAGGCCTCACCTTCTAGCCCAATGTGGCTGCTGACGGCTCCCTCTTCCGCAGGGCCACCCACTGGGACCTAGTGGGGGCTTCCTCCCTCCCCAGGTCGGCCCGCCCGAGTTCCTGGTGGGCACCTTCCAATCCACCCAGTTTCAGAGGGTCTGGTCCCCTTGGAGGGGATGCTCTCAGCTGATCATGCCCACGGCACACAGCTCACCGGGTGCGCAGGGCCTGCCAAGCAGCGTCAATGTCAGCATAGAGGTTCTTCTCAGAGGGCCTGCCCGAGCTGACGCCGTAGCCCGAGTAGTCGTAGGAGAAGATGTTGCAGTTGATACGAGAGCCCAGGCCGATGTAGAAGCTGCTCATCTGGCCCAGGTCCACAGCATTGCCGTGCGAGAAGAGGACTGTGTACCTGGGGGGAGGAGGGACAGGTCAGAGGGCAAGGGAGGAAGGGGCTACTCACACCCCACTCAGTATAGGACAGGCCCCCTGTGCAGCAAAGTGGCCCAGCTCCTCTCCCCTGTGTGATCTCCGGCAGGGGCAGGGCAACACCAGCAGAGCCTCAGGCTTCCCCTCTATGAAAGGGGCCACTGGGACCATCGGTCACATTCTCAGCACAAGGTGGAACCAGCTGCCTCTTCTCAGGTGCATACCATTCAGAGAGGCTCTGGGAGCCCGAGGATGGGAGGCACACGGGCCCACTACTCGGAGCCTTCTGGGGAATGAGACAGTGGCTTCTCTACTGGCACAGCTGTTTGTCCCCTCCTCCTGACAGCTGGCCCCTGCCCCACAAGCAAATAAAGCCAACCCATGATCACAGTGGTGCAGGTCTCCCCTCTCCTGCAGAAAATGACGACACTCATTTCAGCCTTTGCATCCCATGGTGGCCCTGCCAGGCTGCCACTAACAGGACCTGCCCAGGATACTCTAAGAGCAGGCACCAGCCTGGATCCTGGCTGATGGATTCTTGGAGTCTTCTTCCTCCAGCACCACCCCACCCCCAGCCCAGGCTGGCCCAGAGGAAAAGTGGAGCTCGCCCTTTGGACTTAGACCTAGAGGTAGAAGCACCTGGAAGGCCGTGCCTCTGTCCCACCCCTAGGCTCAGGGGAGAGCTCTGCTTGCAAGTCCTGAGGTGCCTGTTAAAAGGGAGCCAGACTAGGCCTGAGCCACCGGCTGGCCTCAGGTGCCAAGACCTCACTGGGCACCGAACGCCCAAGAGACCCTGAAGCAGGTGGCTCATTGTCGAGCAGGTGATGTGACACAGCCACTCAAAGCCACTTCCCTGAGCACTGGGGTCCTCATCTTCAAGATGGGGTGCTGAGAGGGCTCCTTGTGCTGCACATGAAAGGGCACCCAGCATTAAAGGCCCAAAGTGCTGGGCAGTGGCCGTGGGCACAGCGAGGCCAGCCCTTGGTAGTTCTTGCCTGCCACCCCTTAGCAAGAAGCATCCCCAGGCACCAGCACCGCCAGATGGGTTTTCACCCAGCTAGGGCACTCCCAGGGCCCCACCCCCCCAGGGTGGGTCCGGGTTGTGTCTGAGAGGCTCACCTGGCTCCTGGCACGCAGCGTACGTACATGCAGGCGATGCGGTTGCCCCGGCTGCTCTTGGTCAGGAAGACTTCCATGGTATCCAGCTCACGTTGGCTGTACTGGAAGTCAGCGCGCTCCATCAAGTGGAGCTTCCAGCGCCCGGGGGTGCCCGCAGAGGCCCGCAGGGTCCCTGAGGGGGCAGCCCCAGCCCCGCCAGGCCCCAACTCGGGCTCAGGCACCAGCGAGTAGGTGGGCTCCGGTGGCAGGAAGGCAAGCTTGGCGGCAATGCGGCCGGGGCAGGGTGGGCAGCAGAACAGACAGCAGAGCTCGGTCACCGACAGGCCGTTCATGGCGGGCACTGGGCACCAGGACAGGCCTCACTTGGCAGGGGAGGGGGAGGGGTGCTCCAAGACAAGGGTAGGGGGGAGGGTGACCCCCAGACACCACCCCAGATGAGAGCCCCGTTAGGAGGCCACAGCCCAGCCCCATCGTGGTCCAAGCCAAGCCCTTGGGAGCCTTGCCACCTCACGTCTCCATGTCACGCACAGAAAAGCCCTGCAGGGAACAGCAAGATGTAGGTCTCCGGGCACCACCAGAGACGGGGATCCAATCTCGCCTGTACTGAGCTTCTTGGTCTTCCCCACAGCCCACTCCACCATCTGCCCCCATAGACCTGCAAACCCAGCCTGCCCTCTGAAAGAACCGAGCACCTCTCAGTGACCTCTGTGGGGCCCAAAACTGACCTGGCCCTGCCTGCTACCACCCTTCCTCAGCGTGCAGTCACCAACTCTTGCCACTTAAATCCATTCATCACCCTAGCCATGGCCTGCCGGTTGTGCTGATCCAATAGCCTCTGGCCTATCCACCTGTCCCTCACATGACCCCTGCTCCAGGCCCAGGGAAACCCTATCACTCCCCCATGCCTGTGTCCACAGGGCTGGCCCAAACTTTCCTGCCAGCCCATCTCTGTACTGTCCTTCAAGGATCCATCTGCCAACCCCAAGCAACACAGAACAACCGAGGTAGGGACAGACTGCTGACTGGAGGGACCCAAGACCATGCTCACAGGGGCCAGGCCCATGGCAGGACTGTGATGTCCAGAGACAGAGCCCAGGCAGAGGAAAAACAAACAAAGGCTCTGGGAACAAAAGCAGGATACATCTCAGGCTTAGAGGCCTATGGGCTGGACAATGGCTCTCCCCTGTGCTGGAGGCCAGGCTGCTTGGGGGTGGTGGTAGTCACGGGCAGTCCTCTAACTCTGCCAACTTAGGGGTCTGAGACTTTGGGCAAGTTGCTTACCCTGCTGGGGCCTCAGTTTCCTCATCCATCAACGCAGATACCACTCACCTCAAGGGATGGGGGAGTAAATGAAATGAGAGTAAGTGGTGAGTGGGGCATGGCTCAGAGTAGAAGCTCAAACATTTTTCCTTTCTTCAGAGCACTGTGAAACGCTATACGAAATAGACTACAACTAAAGTGCTAAAGCAACTACAGTCGTATACAGAGCTGCCAACGAAGAAACTAGGAGAAGACCTGCCCACTGACTACACGTTCCCTACAAACTAGACTGAGGAGGGAGACACACACCACTCGGTTCTGGCAGTTGAGCACCTTGGCACGTTGAGTTTTCGGGCCATAGCATCTGAAAACCACTGGGCCAGGAACATTCAGCTTCAGAGCAGGTCAGAGCAGTCTGAGGCCCAGAAACATATCTGCTCCCTCTGGACTCATGACTGGACCTGTGACTGAGGGCTGGAGAGAGCCACATCCCACAGTCACCTGGATTAGGGGCACATGGGGAGAATGTGAGAGCTTCCAAAGCCGGGGGAGGGGGGAACGGGACATGGATGGCTTCCAGGAGTCCCTGAACTCCCAAGCAGGATGCATACTTTAAGTGCAAGTCTTTTAGGGGGGAGAACACTGCTTCTGAGATAAGATGAGTTTGCCCCCCCGGGGACACCTGCCAACATCTGAAGATATTTTCGGTTGTGAGGATTGGGGAAGAGAGCTCCTGGCATCGAGAGGGTGGAGACCAGGGATGCTGCTCAACACCCCACAACGCATAGGAAAGAATTATCCCCAAATGTCAACCAACATATTCTCAAAGGGGTCCAGCCCCAACAGGTGATGCTCCACTAGTGCAAATGGGTACTGGAGGGTCTGCTGTTTGGGGAACACAATGAAGGCTGTTTTTGAAAGGCAGGCCTGGTTGAGAACCAGTGTGCAGGTAGGAGGCCCCCAGCCACCTAGAGGATGAAGGACACACCAAGGTAGCCAAGCCTCACTGATCAAGCCAGAAATCCTGATGTCGTCCTTGACTCCTCCCTCCACCTCAGATCCACCCATCACCAGGGCCTGCTGACTCTTCCTCTCTTCCTTTAATTGCCTCCTGGTCCCTGCCTCTATCACCTTTCACCTGCACTGCTTCAGCAGTCTCCTTCCTTGCTGGTCCCCACTTGGCCACTATCATCTCACTCCAAACCATTCCCCCGCCAGCAGCTGAAGGATCTTTTCACAACACAAATATGACCACACCACCTCCCTTTTGGGGTGTCCCAGTGGCTTCCCACTATTTTCAGGATAGAGATAAAATCCCTTGTCACAGCCTGCCAGGTTGGCAGTTGACTGGGGCAACCTCTCTAGCCTCATTCATCTGGTACCCCACACCTCCTCACTCTCCCCAAACAAGCCACACTGCCCACTCCTGCCTCAGAGCCAGAACCCATATAGTTCCCCTCCTGGGGACCTCTCCCCAATCTCACTAGACAGGCCTTGCCCTTGTCCTGTTCATCCTTCAGATCTCATTTCCAGTGCCCTCAGGGAGGCCTTCCAAACGGTCAGGTCCACCCGCCCCAGGGCCCACCATACTCTCATGGTTCCAGGTTACACTAAAGAGAAACTCCATGAGGGCTGGGCCATTATCTGGTTTTGTTCAATAAACACTGGCTGAACGAATGGGCAAATAACAAGAGTCAAAGAAGAAAGAGAGAGGCTACAGAGTCTGCCAGGTTTGACAGAGAAGGGGGACAGTCCCTTCTCAGGACACCCGCACCTGGGACTTCCCACACGTCATTTATTGGTGTCACTGTGTGTGCCCCAAGAGCCAAGCCTCAGACTGGGCAGTGCACATCCACATGCCTCCCTCACTGGACACACACCCAGAGCTCCAGCAATTCTGCCCAAAAGCACATACTGGGCACTCTGTTGCCAGGCCCTGTGCGGGCTGGCGTGTTATGAGAACGAACCAGGAACCAAGCAATTACACTTTAGGGCGACCTAAATACAAACGACTGTGACCGCACCTCACCCAGCCAGTCAGTGTGGGAAAGCTGCCTAACAAAAAGGTCTGAAAGTTGCAGAGAAAATGGCCAGGTGACAAGAAACGGAGCAGAGGGGAGAGCATGGGCAATACCCCAGAAGTGACAGCGCGTTCCAGGAACTGCGGGTCCGGGTTAGAGAGGACACTGGGAGGAAGAGGCATACAGAGGACTCCCGGCGGGAGCCGGGGTCGGTCACGCCCGTCAGCCCTGCTGCAGAAATTGGACTTCATCCTGGGGGAGAGGCGGTGCCCTGGAGGAGTCCTGGGCCGGGCAGACTGCGAATGGGCAGAGGCGTCTGGGAGACGTTTAGAAAGCAGGGCTCGGCTACAGGCTGCTGCGGCAGGGCCGAGTGTTGGGCTGGGGGGCCGATTCAGGGGTAGGGGTAGAGTACGCGGCTCGGACAGCACACTCCTGGAAGGAGTAGGTAGCGTCCCGGGTGATGGTCGCCTACCCCACGCCGGAAGGCTGAATCAAGGGGGGACAGGGCACTGCGAGAGTTGGAGACATTGGCCTGCAGTTCCTGCCCCTGGTCCGGGGGCCTTCCGGCCGGGAACACGAACGCCCCAGGAGTGTGGGATTTCGGGAGCGTCCGACCCGGCTGCCCCGGTCTCGCGGCCCAGCCCGGCTCCCCAAACGGCGACAGGGGCACCCAGGCCACCCCGCTCCTCCTTGCCAGCTCTTGCCGGCACTCACCGCCGCAGCCTGCGCACCCCGGCCCCGGGGCCGCGCTCCATGGCTTCCGGCCGCCCGCCCGTGCGTCCGTCAGTCCCTCGGAGCCCCGGCTCGGCCTTCTGCGCCGCAGCTACAGCTCCCCCGCAGGCGGAAGTGAGCCTCTCTCCCGCCACCGCCCCGGAAGTGACGTCAGGCGCGCGCGGAGGCCGAAGGGGCCGAGGTCTTGGCGCCCGCGCCGCTCGCGTCGTGGACCCGGACCGGGATTCTGGGGGCGGAGCTAGATTGCTGATGAGGCAGGGCCGGGTTTGAGGGCGGGGCTGAGCATGGGCTGGACAGGGCCGCGGGCCAGAAGGGGCGGGTCTGTGATGGGTGAGGCTGATACAGGTCGGGCGGGGCCTGACTTTGGGGGCGGTCCCTGGTGGGGTGGGCGTGGCCCCGGTTCCAGCTTTGGTTTTCAGAAGCAGTGATTCCTCATTCATTAGTTCTTCTACTAATTCCAGGGCCTGGACTAGGGTGAGGCGAGTGAGGTAAGGTTGTGCAAGTGTAGGGGCGGATCCTGTCGATATATAAATGTTCCTTATGGGTTCTTTTTCTTTTCTTTTTAAATCAGGCACTTATAAACAAGAAAGCATATATATATTACATAAAAATAGTTCTCAAATAGTAAAGTAAGTTATATTGTCATTAGCAGCCGCAAAAGAGAGAACGGGTGATGATGCAGCCGCTCCTGTCGGATACAAAGGTAGAACAGTGTTTTTTTCCTTAATGGAAAAAAAGAATTTGTTTGTGACTCCAGACTTCGAGCAAGAACAAGCAGCCTCTCTAGCCCCTGAGCCTGGTGGACGTGGCAGTGGGAAGGAGAGGGTAGGTCCCAATGAGAGCTCGGGAAACCGGCAAAGGGCATCGCCAGTATCCCCTCTTGACAAACAAGCGTGTTCTTCCTCAGTTAAAAACAACCCAGAAAACAAGACAATTGCGAGGTAAGGAAAGGTTTCTGGAAAATGAACCATCATACACACACATATAACACAGAGTGTAAAGGGAGTATTTACAGGGCGACGCTTGTGCATCAGCTACTCTGTACAAAAAACAGAGTATTATGTGTATGAGTTAGCTGCTCCATAGATGTTATTACTGTTGTTTTTTTCCCTTAGTTAAGTCTTTTTTCAGCATAGAAATAATGAATAATTAAACTGAACACACAATCATTTCAATAGTGGGTGTCACACACAGGGAGTCAACAGCTTACAGGATGGATCCCTCTCCTACCTTCTGGAAAGATCTGAGCTTCAGTTGAACCAACAGGAGGCAGGTCTCGGGCTTGGGTCCTACCTGGGCCTGCAGAGTAGAGCTGTACCCTGAGAACTAAAGTGGCCCACGCAACCCCCCCCAACTCCCTCAGCCAGGTAGCTGTCCAAAAAGGCTGAGCTGCTGGTGAAGGGGAGCCCACCTCATCTGATTCCCGCCCCACCGGCTCCAAGGGCCTCAGTACCCTCAGGAAGGGCAGGCCTGAGTGGGACAAGGCCTTCCCAGGGCCCACGTCCTCCAAGCTCTTGGGGACAAGCTGCTGCTGCATATCTAGGTCTTTCCAGATGTATGGGGACAGAGCCAGCTAGCGGAATTGTGTACCTGATCATGGCAGAGACGTGCAGCTGACCGGAGAGGACTGCAACGGCAAAGGGAGGCAGTGCCCTCACACATGGTTCAAAATTCAAAGGGTCTAGAAATAAACAAAAAAAGAAAAAAGAAAAAAACAAATTCAAAGGGTCTAAAAGTCTGAGCATAAAAGGCCTCTTCCCCTCCTACTAAGTGCTGAGAAACCCAGCATTTGTGTGCACCTTCCAGCTTTAAACTTTTTAAAAAACACATAGCTTTCAATAAACACCATGCAGATGGTCACTTCTGCCTTGGCCCATTTGCAATGCTCTCACATAACTTCCAGTGCTGGCCAACAGCTTGTGTACTCAATCCCCTCTTGCTGGACATGAAGGTTGGCTCCAGCTGTAGCCAGAACGGAAAAAGCACATGAGGCATTTCACACTCTCAGGCAGGGACCTTGGGGAAGATTTCTGGAAGCAGAGGCTTCTAATGAGAAGGTTTACCCATATGAGTCCAGGAAACAAAGCAGCCATAGGCCCCCCCTCCAAGAAAGACATGCCACAATGAGAACAGAGGGTGACGCGGGGGTGGGGGAGATGAGAGGATGGGTGATTTTTTCTCTCTTCTTCATGCTTTGACATCTTCTGACATCAAAGGATGTATTGCACTTTTATGATCAAGAAGAGATTGAGGGCCGGCCGAGTGGCGCGATGGTTAAGAACTCGCTTGGGATGCCAGAGGGCCCCGGTTCGGATCCCACATATGAGGGCCAGTGACACTGCCCTCCACAGCTAAGATGCTGAACAACAGCTCAACCTGGAGCTGGGCTGCCATGAGTCGCCGGCGACGGCGTAGGCTGCAGTCCTTGTGGCAGTGGGTTGCCATGGGCTACCGTATGTAGCTAGCAGCCAGCGTGAGCGGCCAGCAGCCGCAGTGAGCGGCCGTCCAGAAGCCGGTGACTGATCTACCTCACCAGAGAAGAGCGCAATGATGGTGCCAACTTGGGCCACTGAAGCAACATCCTCCACAACTAGATTGAAGAACAAAATGACAGCAACTTGTCTGTTCCCCCTCCCCCAATTCCCCAGCACTGTTCCCATCCCCCCAATTCCCCAATAAAAATCTTTAAAAAAAAAAAAAAAAAAGGCTCAACTCTAGACATAAAAAAAAAAAGAAGAGATTGAAATAAAGCTAGATGGCCAAGAAAAGACTGTCTATTAAAAATTCATGCTTCTGCTTCTTGGTTGGTACCCAAAGAAATGAAAGCAGGGACTTGTACATAAATGTTTACAGCATCACGACTCACAATAACCAAATGGTGTATCCATGGCTGGATGAATGGATAAACAAGATCTGGTCAACCCACACACTGGAATAGTACTCAGCCTTAAAAAGTATGAACATTCTGACACCTGCTACAACTGGACAAACCTGGAAGACATGATTCTCAGCGAAATAAACCAGACACAGAAGGCCAATTATTGTGTGATTGCACTCATAGGAGGTCCCCAGAGGAGTCAGATTCATAGAGACAGAGAGCAGATGGTGAGGGCCAGGGGCTGGGGGAGGGGAGTGGAGTGAGTGTTTAATGGGAATAGCGTGTCAGTTTGGGGAGACAGAAAGTTCTGGAGATGAATAGTGGGGATGGCTGCACAATGATGTGAATGTACTTATTGCCACTGAGCTGTGTACTTAAAAATGGTTACAATGGAGGGCCGGCTGAGTGGCTCAGTTGGTTAAGAGCTCGCTCAAGAGTTTGAGCTCTGAGCAACAGCGGTTCAAGTCCAGCCCAAGCTGAGCAGTCCCTGAGCTGCCAAAAGGTAGCAGGATGGCTCAGCTAAAAAATAAAAAAGGTTACAATGGTAAAGTTTATGCTATGCATATTTCACCACATCAAAATAAATAAATAAGAATTTATTTATTTATGAAATAAATTCTTTATGAAAGAGTTTTCATAAACTCCTTAAGAGTTTATGAAACCATGGGGGCGGGACAGAACCGCAGGTGTTTGGGGCAATGCCAGCTTCATGGGCTGAGACCTGTGCAGTCACCCAGGTCCCCTAGCTCAGAAGGGCCCCACCCATGATTTACTGCCCTGTGGCTGCTGTCTTGAAATTCCTAATAATTTTTTAGCAAGGGGCCCTGTATTTTCATTTTGAATTGGAATCTGTAAATTATGTGGCCAGTTCTGGTTTGAGGAAAGGACAGGGAGGCCCAAGTTCAGGGTCTGGGACTCGGGCTGGTGGAGAAACACCCAAATGTGTGAATTGTCTTTTCACCACCAGGAGGGGAGAGAGTGAGACCCAGTCAGGAAATGGGCTCCTGACACAGGCCAGGAAGGAAGTGGAGGGATCCTAAAATAGGACCAGTTGCCAAGCTGATTGGGTGGGGGCTGTGGGGTGTGGGGAGGTGGGACAGGAGTGAGCCAGGGCCAGGAGGCACAGGGGCTTTCCTGAGGAAGCCCCTTCCCCAAACCCAGCCCCTGGGTTTTGGTCTACATAGCCAGACCCAGCACCCACTGCCCTATCTGTCCTCCCCAGGAATCAGGTTTCAAAACAAAGAAGGGAGTGCAGCGAGGACAACTCTGGGAGCTTGTATTAGTCAGGGTTCTTCAGTGAAACAGAGCTCATAGGACATATAAGAATAGAAAGAGAGATACACATGAAGTGTGATCAAACAATATGGTGAATGTTTAAATAAAAAAATTATTGGGCCGGCCGAGTGGCGTGTTGGTTAAGAGCTGGCTTGGGACGCCAGAGAGGCCCGGTTGGGATCTCACATAGAGGGGCCCGGTTGGGATCTCACATATGAGGGCCAGTGACACTGCCCTCTACAGCTAAGATGCTGAACAACAGCTCAACCTGGAGCTGGGCTGCTGTGAGTCTCCGGCCCAGCGTAGGCTGCAGCCCCTGCTGCAGTGGGTTGCCATGGGCTACCGTGTGTAGCCAGCATCCAGTGTGAGCGGACAGCAGCTGCAGTGAGCGGCTGTCCAGAAGCCGGCGACTGATCTGCCTCGCCCGGGAAGAGCACAATGATGGTGCCAACTTGGGCNGACTGATCTGCCTCGCCCGGGAAGAGCACAATGATGGTGCCAACTTGGGCCAGTGAAGCAACGTCTTCCACAACTAGACTGAAGAACCAAAGGACAGCAACTAGTCTGTTCCCCTTCCCCCAATTCCCCAATTAAAAAAAAAAATCTTAAGAATAAATAAATAAATTATTATAGTACAATAAAAGACATATTTGCATTAATCCGCCTCAAAATACTCACTCTCACTTCAAACACACTTATCCCATCATTCTTGCCACTTTCTGAAGCAGTTTTGGAAGTCCTCTTTTGTGAGTGTCTGTAGGTGCGCTGTCATGGCTGCCTCAATGTCCTGAATATATTCAAAACATTTACCTTTCATGGTCAA